TTTGGCTCTGATTTCACTCTATTTCCTAATATCACACATCACAAATCTGATTTACTGTTCTTGGTTGAGATTAACTTCGAGTGCTCCCTAAAAAGAAGCTGGGAATTAAGTTAAGAATAAACTGCTTCTTTATAAATGAGGTGGAATAAAAGAGACATGTGTCAAGATGGATGCTTGACCTGAAGGTTAATAGAGAATTCCAGTTTTCTGGGATGTTGCTAACACAGCTTCACAGGAGAAACAAAACAAAACAAAACAAAAAAAAACAAAAGAAAGTACCTTTACAATTTGCAACAGCATGGATGGAACTGGAGAGCATTATGCTAAGCGAAATAAGCCAGTCACGGAAAGATAAGTATCACATGATCTCACTCATTTGTGGAATATAATGAACAACATAAACTTATGAACAAAACAAATACAGAGACACAGAATCATCTAACAGACTGTCAAATCTCAGAGGGAAGGCAGGGGCAGATGGGCGGGGTAGTGGGGGGTAATAAGACATCAACCAAGAAATTTGTGTGTATATAAGCATAACCAGTGGACACAGACAATGGTGGTGGGGGGGTGAAGGCTGGGGCTGGACGACAGGGGCAGGCTGGGAGAGGACAATTGGGAGAAAGGTGGACATATGTAATACTTTCAACAATAATGAATTTTTTAAAAGGAAATAATAGAACTGATTTTGTTATTGGTGGGGTGCTCTCTGTGCCCCCATCTGTTGCTAGTGGAAGTGGGCTTCTTGGGGTTCCATGGGGAAAAGAATTTCTTGAGGACCCCATGGGAGGATGAAGTATCATGGAAAGTTTTATGTGGACTTAAACTCCTCAGTTTCCAAGATCCCATCTCCTTGCATCCTGCCATGGACAAAAATCCCATTTTGTCTTCAGCAGAGCTAGGATTAAAGCCAGTGTCCAGAGTTTCAGTTCCACATTTGCACAGTCCACTCCAGTATCTGGCTAGGTTAGCTTGTGTTCACAGATGTAGTCCATTGTGTGTAGGCTCCACATTGCCTTGGGCCATGCAGCTTCTATTGCCACAGGGCTATGGGAGAGTGCAAGGAAGCAGGAGTGAAGCAAGATGAGCAAGGGGGAGAGTTCCTTTGTCTGGAGATTATGTATTCCCAAAGTTTTGTGGGTTTGCAGTGGTTCTACCTCTGACCAATTATCTTTGTTCCCAGGTTAGACTGACAAGCAAGTACCTTCCCTACATTACACTGACTTTACTGTGCATGCTTCTATCTTTACCTTTGTTAGACTCCTTCCCCCAGTGATTTGTAGTGGTTCCTTAGGAAGTGGAAACTGTAGCTTCCTGGTACAGCTGCCCAGATGGTCATGCTTGTAATATCTGGCCTTTTATCTGTTCCTTTCCTATTATTAACATTAATAACTACTTAATTACAATGTAACAATCTGAGCTTTGGATCTTAGAATGAAGGTTCTGTTGTTTATGGGATGGAAAGGAAGAAAGGAAGAGAGTTATCTTCTATTTCTTGAGCAGAAAACCAGTCCACCAGCAAAATATTCAAATAAGTAAGTTTGGTTTTTTGTAGCCCCTTGCTTTATATACCCCCTCTCTCCAGACTCTTGAGTGTCAAAACCCTCTTGCTTATCCTAAGAGATCACATATCTACTAGTTTTGATTGCTATATAACAAAATAACACAAACTTAGTGGTTTAAAATAACAGCAATTTGTTAGCTCACGGTTCCCATGGGTCAGGAGTCTAGTATAGGTTAAGCTGGATCCTCTGCTCAGGTCTTACAAGATTAAAATGAAAGCATTGCCCAGAACTGCAGTTCTCATCTGGGCTTCAGGGTCTCCCAGGCTCACTCAGGTTATTGACAAAATTCAATGCCTTACATATGTAGGACTGAGGTCCCCATTTTCTTGCAAGCTGTCAACCACTCTCAGCTCCAAGATACTGATCATGTTCCTTTCTGCTTATCCTCCTCCATTTTTAAACCAACAACAAAAAAATTTCTCTGCCATCAATCCCACTAGTACTTCAAACCTCTGACCACCTGTTCAGCCCTTAGTTGGAGAAAACTTTCTACTTTTAAAGAGTTCATTGATTAGATGAGGTCCATCCAGATAATCTCCCTATTATATGGTCAAGTATTTTAGGAACTTAATTTTATCTGCGCAATCTGTCAGTTTAAGTTAAAAATATTGTATGGCCCTAACTGTTTTGGCTCAATGGATAGAGCATCAACCTGGAGACAGAAGGGTCCCGGGTTCGATTCCAGTCAAGGGCACATGCCTAGATTGTGGGCTCGATCCCCAGTAGGGGGCTTGCAGGAGGCAGCCTATCAGTGATTCTCTGTCATCATTGATGTTTCTCTCTCTCTCCCTTCCTCTCAGAAATCAATAAAAATACATTTTAAAAAATAACAAATTAAAAGAAAAGATTATTTTGGGACAATGGACCAGCATGTGGTCAGGCAAGACCTATTTGGGAACTTAATTCTACCCTCTTCATGTCTCCTAAGTTGTTCCTATGTATCATAGTTATGCCCTTTCCTCCCACAGATTTTCTGCAAATTCATTTTATTTTCTTCTTAATGGTTCAACTGCCAGTGACATCAGGGGCCTTGGAGAAGAGGGTGAGAGTTAAGGAGAGAAAGGGCAGAGATGACAATAGATGCTTTCATACAAGTGTTATTTATGAATCAAGCATTAAGCATTTGTAAATAAAAATATAATTTCAGAGGTTTGTTAACCTAAAAATAAAAGGGCCTTTCAAATGAGAGGCAACAAACATTTCTTGGGATCAGTAACTATAGCTATTCTGATGCACTGATTCAGGCAGAAGCCCAGTTAGGAGAGAAAGGCAATGGGTGTTTATGAGAAAGGGAAGGGGAGCAACACCAATAAAAGGAAGGCATTTCTATTGGTGCAAATAACAAAACATAATGATGTTATTCCTAAACAATGTTTTTAATTTTATTCTAGTAGCCATAATAACTACTTTTTTGATATCTTTGTAAAACATTCTTTTGCAAGGCACAAGGCACAAGGGCAAAGGTTACTTTGCCCTGTTTTAGCATTCCAAAGTTTTTGTTTTTTTAAAGATTATATTTGTCTGTGGATATTTTACATGAGAGGGAACAGAAAATAACCACCTGGAACTATTTCCCATGAAATTTTTGTGGCTACCCACCCAGGATCTTTCCTGGGCACAGACATGCTATAGGAAGTCTTTTGGGTGTAGGGGTTCCTCTTTGGAAACTTCCTGGATTTTCTCTCTTGTTAGCACTGCTCCTCTCTGGATTAGTCACCTTTAAAAGCTTTATTCACTTATGTTAGTCTGTTTTTTGGAGGGTAAAATGTATTTAGTCGATAGAGCTTTAAAGACAGTTTAAATCATTTCTGAAAAGTTAAAGTCAGTAGTGCATGGGCAGGCTAAATAGCCATCTCAGACAGTGAATAAAGAAAAATTGAATTTATTTGAAGAAAAGGGGCCAGGCGTTGAGGTTATACAAAGGGAAGGGCTATACAGCAGTGAACCAAAGGGTATTGGGTCCACGATGGCAGAAAAAATATACATATGACAGTGAAAAAAAGAAGGGCATAGAGGAAACAACAGGAAAGCCTAGCCTGGCTGCTTTGACTCACTGACAAGTCAGAGAAATGGGAGCCTTGGAGACAGGCTCAGGGCATTAGCTTAGGAGAAGCTGCCACTGCCCATTGCCCTCTTGGTTGTAAGTCTCATGGAGTCCCTTAGAGGTTGGGGGATATGTGCCTGTTGAGGAAGGAGACGGGGAAGGGAATAGCATCAACCATGGGCATGCTCCGTGGAGGGAAAATGTGCTGCATTCCAAAGTTTTGACATGTAAGATCGTGCAGGGCAGTTCCTGTGGAATGGCAGCTCCAACTTTATTTTAAAGTGGCTCTGTTTATATTATTGTTTACAGGTTGCAGGAACACTCTTTAACCTACAAGTGACTTCATATAACAGTTCACAAATGCCCAAGTCAGAAGATCTCTCATCACTTTTAGATAGGGCCTTGAGAGCAGATCTTGAATTTCTCAAAGGCACTTGTCATTCCCTGAAAAGACCTTGATTGCATAAAAAACAAGGGAACATTTTCCCATTTCTGTCTCTCCATCTGCCTGTCTGCCTTTCCATCAAGTTCAACTCATGTTTTCAGTTGTTTTTCACTTACACTGAATTTTCAAGTGGCTAGTGGGACCTTTTCTGTCTCACATACCTAATTTAACATATGGCCACAAACAAAATCAGGAATTCAGTCTGTAAACCTACTGCCAACTCCTCCTTCATATATCATTTACACTTTTAGCACTGTGGAGTTATAAAAATGAAGGATACCAGTTTTGCCTTAAAGTAGCTTAGAGTCCAGTAGAGGAGCTGGGAAATATAGAAACAGCAGTGAAATTGAGGCTGTAAATACCAAATAGCTGCTATTGTTTCCTGAATAAAGTTCAAGCTCTTTGGCCTAGAAGTCAAACCATCCTTGTATGCCTATGTCTGCTGTAGCCTCATCTCTTAGTACTCTCTGTCCCTACTTCACCTAAAACTAGTTTGCACAATATCCCATCATACCCATTCTGTGTATCTATACTTTTGCCTGGACTGTGTTTGCACCCCTTTTCTTCATGACTCTAAATTTTACCCATCATTCAAGAACCTAGTCCTGAAATCTTATTACAGAGAAATCTTTCCCTTTTTCTGAACTATACTGTTGACAATCAGTACCACCCATTTTGCCCTTGGAATACAACTGCTTTGTATGAAACCTGCTTTTTTTATTGTTAATCCTCATCCAAGGATATTTTTCCATTGATTTTTTCTTTATAGAGAGAGTGGAAGGAAAGGGGAGAGACAGAGAGGGAGAAACATCGATGTGAGAGAGACACATGTCCTGGGGATCAAGCCTGTAACCAAGGTAAGTGCCTTTGACCAGAATTGAACCTGGGTCCCTTTAGTCCATGAGTCAATGCTCTATTCTCTGAGCAAAATTGGCTAGGGCTGAAACCTGCTTTTCATTCACTTTAGTCTTTTCTTTCCATCTAGATCAGAAGGGGCTTAAAAATCTATTTTTTAAAAGTATATTTTTATTTCAGAGGGGAAGGGAGAGGGAGAGAGAGTTAGAAACATCAATGATTAGAGAGAATCATCAATCGGCTGCCTCCTGCATGCCCCACTGGGGATTTAGCCAGCAACCTGGGCATGTCCCCTGACTGGGAATTGAACCAGCTACCTCCTGGGTTGCTGCTCAACTGCTGAGCCACATTGGTCAGTCCTCTTGGTAGCTATTTTAGATAGGTCAAATTTTCCTCTCAGATAAATAAAGCCTATTTCTATAGTAAATCTGGCTAGGTTGTCCTTAGGAAGTTATGCCACTGACTTGAGACCATGTCTTACCATTTTTCTTTCTTTCCCCTCTGCCCCCCATCCCCACCCCATCAGCCCTAAGCAATCACTAGCATTCTTTCTGTTCCTGTGGATTTGCCCATTCTGAATTTTTAAAATTTATTTTTTAAAATGTTTATATATTTTTTAGATACCATGTTTTCTCTGAAACCCCACTTCTATCCCCGTGGAAGGCAAAGCCTAAATCTTTAAAAAGCTCATTTATAGAAGGACAATGATTTTAATAGAAATTTAAAACTTGTTCTGCTATCATAGTAACTCACAGAAATGGGTCCAACCTGATACTTGGCATAAAAGAGAGAGGACAGAATCCCAGGGCCTTCCCCTTCCTCTCTATTCCTCCTGCCTTTAGGTAATTCTAAGAAAATCTTAGCTTTGTGAGTATAGACACTATCTTGCTTACAACTTTATTTTCTATATCAGAGCCTAGCACAGGGCCCTGAAAATATATATCCATACCCAACAAAGACTTATTAAAATGAAAGGTTAAACACGGACACCTAGAAGTTACAAAGAAATGGTGTCCAGTATTGGGAGCAGGACAGAGTGGATGTTTTGGCTACTGAATCAACCACAAACAATTATTGAGTACCTCATCCAAGACTCTGTGGTTGCTGCTTTAAAGGATATAAAGATGAGTAATACATGATCCTTGCTCTTCAAAATTTCATAGACTTGCCCAGCCAGTATGGCTAAGTGTTGAGCATCAAGCTATGAGCCAGGAGGTCATGGTTTGATTTCTGATCAGGGCACATGCCTGTGTTTCGGGGTCCATTCCCAGTAAGGAGAGTGCAGGAGGCAGTCGATCAATGATTCTCTCTCATCATTGATGTTTCTATCTCTCCCTTCCTTTCTGAAATGAATTTTTAAAAAATCAGAGACTCATTGCAAAGACAAGGCATACTCAGAAATGAAACACTTTCAGAAGAATATCAACTTAGTGTATAAGAAAGTCTAGGACTGGATGTCGGGAGTAGGGCTGGGAACCTGTTAGATACTCACTTATGTGTGACCTTGAACAAATACCTCTCTGAACATGTTTCCTCCTCCTTGCTCCACCTAACTCATAGGGTTATGTAGCAGTTTAGATAAGTGAAATGATTTATACATGGAAAAAATTATAAAATGCCAAACTAAAGTAACACACAATTAGAGTTTGTTATTGTGTCAAACTCTGTGGTTCAGGTTATAGGTCTGTCCTTTGACTGCCACCATTACCACAACAAGAAACTCAGGAAGGAATTCATGGAGGAAATAAGACAGTTCCCCTCCCCCCTTTATTTACCAAATTTTAAAAAACATTTTATTGAGGTATGATTAAAACACAAAAAAGTTGTACATATTTAATGTATACAACTTGATGAGTTTGGAGATAAATATACCCCTGTGAAGCCATCAGCACAATCAATACCATAAACATAGCCATCACCTCCAAATCTTTCCTCCCATCCACTTATTTATTATTTTGTACTAGGGGCCCGGTGCACGAAATTCGTGCACTGGGTGTGTGTGGGGGAGTGTCCCTCAGCCCAGCCTGCCCCCTCTCACATACTGGGAGCCCTCAGGCATTGACCCCCATCACCCTCCAATTGCAGGATCGGCCCCTTGCCCAGGCCTGAGGCCTCCAGCAGAGTGTCAGGCCCTGGGCAGGGGACCCCAAGCTTCCCGCGATCTCCGCTCTGCCCCTTCCCCCCCGCGGTTGCAGGCTCCGCCCCTGCCCAGGCCTAATGCCTATGGCCGAGGCGTCCGGCCCGGGCAGCAGGGACCTGCAGCGGCAGCGGCCCCGCGATCGTGGGCCCCGCTTCAGGGGGCTTCTTCCTGCTTTCCCTTTCGCCTCCCTGCATTGTGCCTACATATGCAAATTAACCGCCATCTTGTTGGCAGTTAACTGCCAATCTTAGTTGGCAGTTAATTTGCATATAGCCCTGATTAGCCAATGAAAAGGGTAGCGTCGTATGCCAATTACCGTTTTTCTCTTTTATTAGTGTAGATGTATGACAAGAACATCTAACATAAAATCTACCCTCTTAGCAAATACAATACAGTATTGTTAACTATGGGCACTATGTTTCACAATAGATCTCTGGGACTTACTCATATTGCATAATTGAAACTTTGCACCCTTTGACTAAGACCTCCCCATTTCTTCCTTCCTCAGCCCCTGCCAACCAACATTCTACTCTCTATGAGTCTGACTATTTTAAATTCTTCATATATGTGGTATTATGTAGTAGTTGTCCCTCTGTGTCTGGCTTCTTTCTTTTTCTTTTTAAATATATTTTCATTTATTTCAGAGATGAAGGGAAAGGAAGCGAGATAGAAACATCAATGATGAGAGAGAATCATTGATTGGTTGCCTCCTGCACACCCCACACTGGGGATCAAGCTCAGAACCTGGGCATGTGCCCTGACTGGAATTGAACCGTGACTTCCTGGTCTGTAGGTCGACTCTCAACCAATGCTGGCCAGGCAGGCTTTTTTCACTTAGCATAATATACTCCAGGCTCATGAGAGGGTAGTTGTTAATAAACAAATCATTCTCTGTCTTCTCCATTCTCTTTCCTGGAAGCCTCTACACACACACACACACACACACACACACACACACACGCACGCACACACACACATTTATATCCAGATGAGATTAATTTTTACTGATGTTTAAGGGTAGTCCTTTGTTTAAAAGATTTTTAAATTGAGTTTTAGGGTGAGAGAGGAAGGGAGAGGGAGAGGGAGAGAGAAACATGGATGTGAGAGAGAAACATTCATCAGCTGCCTCCTGCACTCCCCCTATGGGGGATTGAGCCTACAATCTGGGCAGGTACCCTGACTGGGAATCAAACCAGCAACCTTTTGGTGCATGGGACAATGTGCAATCAACTGAGCCTTACTGGCCAGGGTAAGAATAGTCTTTAAATGTTGTGAAAAGCAGTCACAGAATGATGCCTTGAGGTACGTGAATGGGAATTCCCAATGTCTTCTTTCTACCATTTCCCATTTGGAGATAAAGATACTAAATTTGGTCTAGCCTCTGCCTTCAAATAACCATAGTTGGGCAATCAAATATCTCCTAGGGGCCAGAGGAGTAATTGAGTTAAGCAGCAGACAAAAAATAGTCTAGTAAGGACTATGTCCACTAGAGAATGCATATTCCATATGACATTTTTGTTTACAAATTGAGGAACCACTAAACCTGAATGCTAAACCTCTAAAGGCTTGTCCACTTACCCAAAAGGTAACCCTCAAAAGGTACTTAGTTGCTCATTTGTCTCTTTCTTGGCTAACTGGCACCCACCCAGCCTAATTCCTTTCCAACTCTGCAAGTTTTCTACTTAAAGAAAGTGGAGCCTGGCAGGGGTAGTGAGAACCATATTGGATAGGAAAACTGGAAGCCAAGAATTTACCCTAACTCTGACCCTGACTTCTCACATGCCTATTCCTGAATATCCTGCCCAGCAAGGGATAGTAAGTCTTTGAGCCTCAGTTTCCTTAACTAACTGTAAAAATAAAGGACTTGGACTCTAATCCCTAAATACCCTTCAACTGAGACATTCTGTATTTAAACTTGGGGTGAGGAAGACGGAGTACTGATAGTTCCATTTCTTTTTCTTTTCTTTTCTTTTTTTTAGTGGTTGATTACTACTAACAGCTTTAGTGATTACTAGATGTTCCCAGGTGACCTCGTCATGCCTGGAAATTAGTGTTGGCTGTCACCTGGGTCTCTCTTTCCACATGTTATTTTATCTTCAAGGAAACTAGCCTGGGCTTCTTCACAAATAATAGTTCATTTCTTGTTACCCATGTCAGATCTCCCTCCTGTCTCTGATCCTGGGAACAGCCCAACTTAACTTTGACTTAGCCCCTGATGCTGTAAGCCGGGTAGAGGGATTGGATACGGAAGATGAAAGCAAAAAATTGACACTTGAGGAAAGAAGTGGCAGTGGCAGCAACAAAATCTCAGAGATCTTTGGCTCTTGGCCTCTTTTGTTCAGCAGCCATGTGGCCCATATCCACCTCAGCCATGTCCTAGTTTTCTACCAGCTTTCACCTGATGCCTATTCCAGAGTATCACATCCTGGATAGTCCACTTAGCAGGAACATTAAGATTGTGGTGCTGGGAGGAAGCCAGGTAGGAATTGCCTTGTGAGTATGTGTTTGTGGTAGGGAGATAGAGAGCAATGGAATCACAGCATCACCTTTCCTCACCACACAATGAGAAGTCTAGCTGGTGGGGGATGAGGGGGAAATTGTAAGAGGGAAGGCAAAGGAATTTCACTAAGAAGGATGCCATCAGTTGGGTTGAAGGGATTGGTGTGGTCCCAAAACTGTGGGTAGTCTATCTGTTCAGGAAACACAAAGATGTGAGGGTTTGGGGCTGCACACAAAATTATGTGTATTGGCCTGTTAAGAGGGTGCCTACATTCCCAGCCATCTCTCCCTGGTAGACAGCAATCCTGTTGCTTTTCACAGCCATATGTTATGTGTGTACCCTTCTCAGTTCTGGTGCTCTCTGCTGGGAAGCCCAGCTTGGGGTTTAGACCCCACAGTTCTCAGTGGCAACTTCCCACAGCTGAGATATCTCTCCAGAACTTCAGCAGTTGTCTGTGGGGGCCCGGCCAGTCCTTTTGCATCTCTGCCCCTCCTACCAGTCTCTATGCAGTCTCTACTTTCCATCCTCAGTTATCAGGGTTCTGTCCAGGGAGTCTTCAGGTAATTATTCAAAGTGGTGTTTCTGTATTTTAATTGTAATTCCAGTTTGGTCCTGAGAGTGTGTCAGTGTAGCTTCCACTTACTCTGCTGCCATTTTGGAAACCCTCTTATATCCCCTTTAATGTGCTGCTGGATGTGGTTTGCTAGTTTTTGTTGAGAATTTTTGCATCTATGTACAGATGGAATACTACTCTGTAGCTTTTATTTGTAGTATATTTGTTTGGCTTTGGTGTCATAGAATGAGTTAGGAGATGTTTCCTACTCTTTTATTTTTTGAAAGAGCTTGAAAACTATTGGTGCTAATTATTTTTCAAACCTTTGGTAGATTTCATGAATGAAACCATCTGGTACTGGATTTTTCTTTGTTAAGAGGTTTTATGCTGCTGATTTAATCTCCTTATTTGGTATAGGTTTGTTCAGGTTTTCTATTTCTTCTTGAGCCAGATTTGGTAGTTTGTATGTTTCTTGGAATTTGTCCAATTCATCTAGAATATCTAAATTTTTAGCCTTCAGTTGATCATAATAGCACTGTGTCTGTTTTGTTGTAGTACTGTCTGTAAATTTTGTTAAATTGCAAAACAACACCTATAATTGTCCCCTCTGGCACCAGTAAACCACAGTAAGAGTGCAGGCTGCCATCCACACAGCACCAGTTCAGCTAGGAAAAGGGGCATGGTAAGCAAAAATGCCACAATCCTCTCTTACTGTATTTTAGCAGTGTTTCT